GTTGATTAATCTTCATGTGTCGCGTCTCCTCGGGGCGTAGGCGATCATGGCGTTCCCCAACTTCCTGTCTCCTTTTAGCTCTTAATAAACTGTCCTTATTTCTCCTCCGCCCTGTTTTAGCATCCATTTACTCAATCTCACTATGCATGTTATGCATTGTTTTCCTCTGTCCCGTATCAGATTTTCCGAGCCCTCCTTTCTCATTATAAACCCCAGAAACCTCAACTGTTTCTTCCTGATGTTAAGTATTAGCTTTTTTTTTTTTTCTCTCCAAAACTTTGTCATTGTATGGGCCTAGATGCAAAAAAGAAAAGCTTGGATGTTTTAGACTGATTTTTAATGGAAGCTGGCAGGTAAGTTACCAGATTTGGTCGGGCAGTATAAGACAATATTCCTACAATAAGTATAATGGTTCTATGTTTAAAATATAGATCAGTAAAAATACAATATAAAAATTTTGTCACTTAGCTGATTGATATTACGTGCGTGCGAAGAGTGAACTCAGAACTGTATTAATTTAGCCATTCTCAAGATTGAAATTTGTTTTCTACGTTTTTAAAACAGTAGATGTTCCTGCAACAGCTAGTATTTTAAAACGGTGAAAAAGTGTAAATATGCATTTTAATGTTGAAAACATGTCTAGGGAACTGAAATAACTTTTGATAAATTGTGTAATTTTACGCTGTTAATTTACATCCAAGAACTCAATTTTTAAAGTTACCTCCCTTTTTAGATTAGCTATTTTCGAAGCGGCCATTCACATTTTTTTTGTTTACATTGGCCTGTTAGAATTCAGTTTGTGACACAATACTAGTTGGCCATGATCATGTTTACTAGTAAATGTATGGATATACCCGAAATTAATTTAAGCGGAAAATTTAGACACATCAAAAACTGTGTCTGTTGTATAAATGACTTAAAAATTAAACTAGTCTTCTCCTTTTCATATGCATATAAGGAAACAGACAATGCTACCATCATTTATTTTGAATGCAATAAGATTGTTTACTAGATTTTCATGTACACATGCACTGACCCACCTGGAAATAAAATATTTAAGGATCAATTAGTGTTGAAATAATTTTAAATTTTGAAGCATTTTGAAGAAATGCATTCATTCACCTGAAAAAGAAGTTATTTTAAAATACACTTTTATGTTTGAGTTTGTTGTTTTGGAGGTTTCAGCTTTTTTTATTTTTTGGGGGGGCGGGGGGAATAATTTACAGAATACATAATATTTCTGACATTTTAAAGCTTCATTTATGATGATGCTTTTATAAGTGATTTGCTTTTGCTGCATGCACAATGTACACTTATCTTTTTGAGAGTTTAATTTTAGAAACTGAAAGGTTAGAAATTTAGTGCCAAAAGTATGATCAGGTTACTGTTTAAGAAAATTTGAACACACACAAGGGCTCGTTTTTTTTCCCCTAAAACACTTGGTCTAAATCAAGCAGGTCTTCCTAAACTTTTTTGAGTCGATGCAAACACTTTAAAAAAAAAAAAAAAAAAATTATCATGACCCCTTTGCACCATTTAGTAAAAAAAATTCCAGCCCTTCTCTGCCTGAAGAACCTCACAAATTTTTGATAAATATCAATCATTAGAGATTTTTGCTACAAAAGACCAGTGGTGTAAAAATCTATTTAAAAAAAAAAAAAATTTACAACCACTGAGATAATGTCTTTTAAGAAAAGTCTTAAACTACATATTTTTTTTCCAGGGGACTTAATTGTATTATTTTTATCTTTTTTTATTCATTTGTGAAATGTGACTTAGAAAATAACATTAAAAACATATTTAAAATTCATTTTAATAAAAGAAATTGTTAACTGTGCTGACTCCTACCTAGGATTGAACTCACTATCCTTGGCTAACAAATTAGGCTCTTACTCCTTAGCTGAATGGATGTGTTTTAAGCAGTGGCAATAGTTTATTTCCATTACTGCCAAAGTGTATTTAGCCATTAGGCAGTATTTAAGTTTTTTGAAATTTATCCTCAGAGAAGATTTTTCTGTTGTATGGCGAGGTGCTGTCACTCTGTAGAGCAAGATCCTGTTTGAACAGAAACAATTTTTTTTTTTTTTTTTTTAATTGTGAATTCAAGATAAGAACCAGCGCAAGCTCTAGAATATTTTTTTCTTTATTTTTTATTTAATCAAATTCAACAGTTTTTAATGGCTGAAACTTGTAATTAATTGTAACAAAGACTTAATTTATAACCTAAATATTTTAAACCTTTCATGAAATGGCTCAATTAGTAATTTCTGAGATTTGAGTTCAATCCTTGGCATACTATATACCCGAGTTAGGAATGTATATAGATTTTTAGATTCCTTGGTTATATATATATATATATATATATATATGTGTGTGTGTGTGTGTGTGTGCGCGCATCTTTTGGCATTGCAGGCATTTAATATTGTCTAGGTTTATTGCTAACTAAATCTGATAGTCTTTGAGGTGGTGGTAATGATTTTAGTGTTAGTTCTTAAATTTTGTTGATAGATTGATGGTGGGTAAGATTATTTTTGTTGTCAGTGGTGGTTATATATATATATATATATATATATAATGACAGGTCATTGGATAAGAATAGAAGTTGAAAGGCCACAACATAACCCAAAAATTTGTAACAAAAAGTCAATAGAGAAGTCAGTGACAGTTAAAATCAATCAGAATATTTGGAGAAAATGGTGCAATCAAGCAAGAACAAAATGAGGAAACAGAAGGGAACAAAGCAATAAGTAAATCAGGGGGTCACACAAAAATAAAATAAAAAATTGCAAGAAAGGAACAGCTGGTGGATGTTGACAATGCACTTTTGAAGCACAATATTTATAACTATGCATGCCTCTCTTAAGCATCCATGACTGTGTGCTGTCATCAATCCTGTGACTGGGTGTGGTCATTGGGTCAGTGAACAGCTAAGACCTTGACCAGTTCCTTCTAGACAAGTAGACCTGGCATAGGCCATCCCTCTCCAGATCAGACAACAGCCTGATGCCATCCAATTTCAAGGATTTTTTTTAAAAAACTGAATTTATATTTTCTATTAATAACCTGAATATTATGGCAACATGAATAGTCAGCTCCAGAAGCCTTTCAACCTGGTTCTCCTAATAATGTTACAAAACTTCTATCAAATTTTGCTTCCACTTTTTCATAAATATGAGTCAATGAAAAATTACATCAAAACAGTGAATAAAAAAAGTGCAACATTTACTTTCATAAAACATTTTTACATGTTAATGATACCAAATACATGTATTTCTGATAACTCTTAAATGCCAAATGAAGAATGTTCAATTTAAAAGTTTATTCATAAGAAGAACAGATGACAAACCTTTAAGTCAGTCATGAATAAATTTCTTAGAAACCAACAAAATACAGTAAACAAATGTGTTGTTGGAGTAGTGATGCAAAATTTTAAAAATCTTGGATCACATACATTGATAAAAATTTTCTCAGATCACATCTTGACTATTCCTCTAAAATTTGTGGGGACGAACAGTAGCTCTCTCAATAAGGTTCTTTGCTTCAAACATCTATTGGACCTCAACTCCAATGCAGACCTCATTTGGAATTCATATATACAATTTATTGATATAGAAACTGGAAAAAAGGATTGGTTCATTCTACCACTCTGGCAACTTCTGCCAGGATTTATCTTTACAAGAGTCAGATTAGAAAAAAAAGAAATAAAATGTGTATCGCTGCCATATCTGGACTGCAGCTGCCCAACCCTCATAATGTTCAAAATCATTTACGTGGTCTTATAGGGAATACCCCCCCCCGATCCAATGTTATAGACTATCGCGACTTTCACTCTTTTCATACCCAAGCTCCATTCTTTAGTTTATTTCCGATATTTACAGCTAAAACCAGCCATACCACATCCACAGAGTTGAACCACCCTCATAATCTTCACTCCCTACATTTAGAACATTCATATCACACAGAACTCACTCAGTAACCCTCTACCTTTAGTGGCTCTTGACCCATGTAATGGGTGAACTTTATTATAAAAATATTTCCAATGCATTTCTATAGTAAAATTATTTTATTATAGCCCCATTATACCAAGGGTAAATTGTTATCTATTCTCCTTATCTTCATAATTTTCATAATCTTCATTTACTTCCTCCTCCTCTAACATATCACACATCACCTTCAGTAACCCTCTACCTTGAGTGGTTCTTGAATATTGTATTAGGTGAATAATAGTTTAAACAAAAAATTATCATGATGAACAGGGGAAGGTTTGAAGACATAGTATGAAAGAAAAGTATTTGAGATGATAACAGCTGATGACTGTTTAAAAATGAGACTTTATGAAGGAAAAAAAAAACAATCGAAAATCATCAGAAAGGCCTTTTCTTTCACACTAATGTTTATTTCTCTCGATTTATCTGTTTATTAAAATAATTTTACTCCACATTTTATAGCTTAATCAGTTCTTCCACCTTCAAAGCAGAGAGAGAGAAAAAAAAAAAGGTTTACTAAAATATGTGGCAGGTAAAAAAAATTATCTGACTAACCAGAATGGTTATCATTTTTGATTCAGTCGTATCAAAACAATATCTCTTCAGTTGGAAAATTTCCGACAGGAGAAATAAAAAAAAAAAAAATAAAAAATAAAAAAAAGTTATTTTTCTGAATTTTTTTCTCTCCAGATTTTTAATTTTTTATTAATGTTTCTTGAGTGAGGAAAATATATTTTTATTGAGAGAATGCAATAAAAAAAAAAAAATTTTTAATTTTCATGTGGATGCTTTTTAGAAATTTTCCCCCTCACCGTTTTAAAATCATTATGGGGAAAAAAAAAAAAAAAAAAAAAAAAAAAAAGATTTTTTTAATATTCAGAAACCTTGTTAAAAGGTGACTTGCTGAATGTAAAGAAAAGAAAAAAAAAAAGAAAAATCAGAATCAGAATGAAATTCTATAAACAAATTTCATCACACATTTCTTGTCGGTAACATTGTATCAAGGCCTGAAACTCTTGAGCCATGTAGTCATCGGGCATTTCCAGATTACAAATATGTGGGGCAAGGATA